TTTTTTTTTTTTTTTTTTTTTTTTTTTTTTTTTAATATTTATTTATTATTGGTCGTTTCGGTGGGACAGTTGCAAAGTTCTGTTCTGTGCAAATTATGCGCCTAGAAACTACTCCTGTTGCACCTGTCTGTGCTAACCCGGAATAATTCCCGCTTCTGTTACTGTGCTCACGAACTTGCATATCCCACATCAGCGTGTGTTACATTTATCCGTCTTGGTAATAGTTATTAAGGCTGATAAACGATTAACACTATATTGAGTCTTCTGTTAATTTCAGAATGAGCTTCTTAATGCAACACAGCGGTCTCTGGGTTAGTTGGGGAAAGTACCTTATGAAGATTGGGAAGAAAGTCTGTAGTGAAAGTAATGTAAAAAAAACCAAACAGTAAAATAAATAAATAAATAAATAAACCCCAGACCAACCGACCAAAAAACCCCGCAAAACCCCCCATGAGTTTTAAATGACCTTAGCTTTATGCGTCTTTATGTTAGTTCTGGTATCAGTCCATTCCAACAATAGCAATAGGGAAAATAGCAGATGTTTTTGGGATCCGAGAAAATCTGTGTTGCAGAAAGAGCTTTCCTGACCATCAAAGTGCAGGCTGTTTTAACAGAGTCAGCGGTGGGAGTATCAAGGAAGGAAATTTGTTTCCAAAGTGTTAGACCAAGTTTCCCAGACGAATTATTAACTTGAGGAGAACAGCTTCTCTGTCACACTCGTTTTACTTTTATTTGGCCCCTTAACAATATTTGACTCATGATCTTTAATGTATAAATAGGCAAGGAAATATTGGGGTATACATTGCTCCAAATTCTTAGCAGATTTATTTATTAATGTAGATTTTACTGTGAATGCACGCACGGTTTTCCCACTGCACTGTGTTTCATGTGTATCTGTATTTGCACAGCATGGCTGTAGATCTCAGTATATATCTGTCTCTGCATGCCTATTGTTTGATGAATACTCGCCATCGTTTATATCAATAAGAAAACAATTTCCCTAGTTTCCTTAGGGCTCACAAAGTGAATCCTCGAATGTAAGCAATTTGAAATAGAAGGTGTGGGGAAAAAACAAAATAAACAAGCACCCAAAACCTACAAATGAGGACGAGATTTCTTTCTTAAAGCCTAGAACATCCTTATGTGAAGCTTACGAGTGTTGCAAAAAATACCTTTGTCTAAGAGCCGCGGGTTGTATATTCTGAACACAAAATTAATATTTTTGTACCTGAAAGTATCGATATTTGCGGTTAGTACGTGCATGCAATATTCCTACAATTCAGTGCCCACATAAGGACATTTATAATGTATCTTCCTGAATCTTTTTTTATTTAACGATTGCTGTGTTGTGACTATTTTAAACAAACGAAAAACCTGATCTCGGCAATTTCCCTGAAGAGGTGGGGACAGTCCCCAGAGCATGCTTTCCGCCTGGCCTTCCCCGCTCCGTGAGCGTGGTGGGAAGGTGGCGTTCAGATGAAGAGAAAGCATCGCCGAAACACGACCTGCCCGGCGGGAAGCACCGGGAAGCGGATGGGGAAGAAGGCAGCGGCCACCCGTCCCGTCCGGGGCGCCGAGCTGGGCCGCCCGGAGTGGTATCGCACGCTGCCGCCAGAGACACCGCCTGGCACCGGCGGCGGGAAACGCTCCCAGAAAGGCAGAGAAAAAAGAAATACAGTAGCACCCAAACTCCGTGTTAACCGGCGGAGGGAGGGTAATCCTTCTTGAGCCCATCGCAGCAGTTGACTCAGATCACTGAAATCCCGTTCTACGGGTCGGACCCCCTGAGTCCGGTGAGACACACCGCTACCATCTGTGCTTGTACGAGGAGACTGTCCCTGTGCGAGCTAAAAGTCGGGATCTGTGCCGTCTCCTCATTATAACGATGCAAACTTCAGAATTCGAGGAAAATGTTTAGCCATAAGGATACATTAAAAGGTATTGAAAACGAATCAAACCTCGAAATTTTCTGAAAGTAATAATTTGTAAGGCTCAGGGAGTGTGTTAAGGAGATCTAATCTGACTTTTTTTTTTTTTTTTAGCATGTATTTGCTCCCCAGTGGTACTTGTTATCAGCCCATAAAGATACACCACAAAAGAGCAGTATATGCTGAAATATGCTCAACCTGCATGTGGTCCACTTGGTAATATTGGGTACCGCAGTGCAATCTGTTTACCTGGAAATTAGGACCACTGTCTCCTTTAAATGCCTCTCTAACTCTGGCAAGACAGGGACAGAGGTAATTAGCTGTCCTCAGACTGCCCAGTAAGCCTTCGATATATAAATTGCCCATTCACTCAGATATGAATTATTTTTAGTGTCCTGTCTTCTGTAATAAATGCATGATTATGAACTTATGAAGGGATTAGCAGGGAAAGGTAGTGTAAGCCTCTCGTTTTTTTCGAATAACGATGAGCTATGCCGAGGTTTTACCACCTCCTCAAAAGGATACACGTTGCCAGTTTGCTACCGGCAAACATTTCCTGCCACTCCCTTTCGGCTGCTAAGGCAAGACTGATGCACCGACTGTATAAAGAAGAGCATACATACGTTGCCTTCTTTGTAATATACCTACGTTAAGAGTTACTGCTTTTCCATTTGCGCTGTACAGAGAGCATAACCATTATAAAAATGGGTACACAAAACAGATTATCCTGCTAAAAGAGCAATCTTCTTTCTGACAGGCAGTCAGTCTTATTTCAAAGGTCTCCATATTCTGGCCAGGCATTACCAAAGTGACGAGAGATTTGGGGTATCCCCATTTCTGAGTGTCCATCTGGAGACAGTGTGGCCAGTGGGCTTGTTTTCAGCCCTGTCCTCAGCTCATGCCCTTCATAGTTTAGCACAGAAAAAGTGAGGTACCTGGAACAAGTGCCGAGGGAGGTGGTGGAGTCTCCATCCTTAGAATTATTTAAAACTCAGCTGAGCAGGGACGTGAGCAAGATGCTCTATATTTTAGGTTACTCCTACTTTGAAAAGGAGGTTGGACCAGAAGCTTTCCAGGGGTCCTCTCCAAACCGGTTTCTTTAGATTCTGTGCTTTAATGGGCCAACACATCAGCTGTGTTCCAGGCTTTGGAGGAAAAGCCTATGATTTTTGCTGGAAAAGGAACCAGTTTCTGCAGAGCCAGAATGAGAATACACTGATCTATTTGAAGACTTCTTTAACCTTCAGCCTGTAGTCATGATGGAGTGGTTCCACCAATGCTGTTGGACTCGCAGAGGGAATTTTGGTCTTCTAAGTGCCCTCTGGATATCTCAGCCCACAGTCAGTTGAGATAGTGCCAGTGAGGACTTAGGATGCGAAAGTGCTGAAGTTCCTCTGAGAAAGCTTGCATTTGAGTGGTGTGTTGCTGCCTTGTAATCAGTGAGAGAGGACTGATGTAGCATATTTGATGCAGCAGAAAAATAACCCCTGCTTCTTTTCTTGTACATGGGAGAATGAGACAGACATCTATAAGGCAGCATAAAATGCCTAAACTATGTCACATTATTATTTTGTAGTTTTGTTTTCATTAGATGTTGCAAGTAGACCTTAATTTTAGCAGGATCTCTGTGAAAAATGCTCCCCAACCCCCCAAGAATCCTGCTCTGTTCACTTTAAGACGACTGTTTCCTCAAATGTCTGTAAAAGCTTTTGGCCTCTGGTTTTTGTTAACTTCTCTGCCTTCTCTTTGCAGACATGAATGAGGAGCGGTTGGGTGATGCTAGTGCAGCAGACAATGCTGAGACCTACAGTGACAAAGACACAGACCAAAGGAGCTCCCCAGACATGACGAAAACCAAAAGCTGCTTCACCCCTGAAAGCCCTGAAATTGTTTCAGTGGATGAGGTTGGCTATGCAGTTCAGAAAAATGGTGGGAGCACAGAGAGCCGTTCAGACAGCCCCAAGTACCACCCAGAGCAGAACCACCTCCTGATAGAAGGTCCTTCTGGGACAGTTTCTTTACCTTTCAGTTTGAAAGCCAACAGACCTCCACTTGAAGTCTTGAAAAAGATCTTCCCTAACCAAAAGCCAACTGTGCTGGAGTTGATCCTGAAGGGGTGTGGCGGTGATCTGGTGAGTGCTGTAGAGGTTCTCCTGTCCAGTCGGTCTTCAGTGGCCAGTGGGGAGAGAACTTCTGCAGAATCCGATGGTCTTGTTTTGCCTTCCAATGGGCACATTTTTGAACACACACTTAGTTCATACCCTATTTCCTCTTCCAAGTGGTCCGTGGGCTCAGCATTTAGGGTTCCTGACACGCTGAGGTTCTCTGCTGATTCCAGTAATGTTGTGCCAAACCCTCTGGCTGTACCTTTGCAGCACCCTTTCCCTCAGCCACCACGCTACCCTCTGATGCTGAGGAACACTTTGGCAAGAAACCAGTCCAGCCCGTTCCTGCCCAACGACGTCACCCTGTGGAACACCATGACGCTGCAGCAGCAGTACCAGCTGCGGTCCCAGTATGTCAGTCCTTTCTCTAGCAACTCAGCCAGCGTTTTCCGAAGCTCGCCTGTCCTTCCTTCCCGCTCGTCAGAAGATCCTAGGATCTCAATCCCTGATGACGGGTGTCCTATTGTGTCTAAGCAACCAATTTACACAGAAGATGAGTATGATGAAAGGTCTGATTCTTCAGACTCAAGAATACTCAACACATCTTCTTAGATTGACATTCAACACGTGATAACAAAGTGATACTTGCAGTGCAGCTGAACTACTGGGCCCTAAGAGGAGGCACATGTACTCTACAAAACCCTTGCAATTGTATTAAAAAGTGACTTTGCTTGGTATTGTACTATAGCAATAAAGACGTAACTTATTTAATTTCTTGCACTTAACTGGATAATGCCAAATAGCAATACTCTGGCTTTAGTGCTGAGTGTGTGTTACAAAGGAAGACTTTATGGCTATCAGTTATGGGACTCAGTTAATGGAAACAGAAGCCCAAGGTCTACTTTGTTCCTTAACTCAGAAAAATGGGGATGTTAAACTAGAATACTTGAATGCTGTTTTATAAGAGAGAACTCCTCAGGACATAAGAAATCAAACAAATGTAGTTCAATTGCAAATGGACTAAAAACAAGGACCTTACAATCTTACACCAGTGATCACCCTTGCAGTGAAAGAAAAGGCAGAAGAAAGAAATACACACATGAAACTATCATGAACTGCTTCTGTGCCGTTTGAGCTTGGACACTTTTCAGAGAAATAATATTAAGAGTTATTCTTTTCCCATGGCTAGGTCAAAAAGTAATGTCAGTGTAAAACCAATTACAGCTGTGAATTGCATGAAGTGTATCGTGAAATGAACACCAGATTAAGCATTGTCAGGTTAATGTAGCATGCTAAGGACTCTAGAAAAATAAACTAAGATGATGATCTTGGTTTATGTCATTCATACTGGGCAAATAACATTTCTGAAGATAGAGAGCTGATTAGTCCTCAGTCAGGGTTAAAATGTCCAGCTCCAGCAACTGCAGTCAAGGGAAGCTTCTTTTTCCAAGTCTGAGTTCTGCTTCCCTGTCTTGTAGCTTGCAACTGAGATTAGGCAAATGTTGTCATCAGGGAAGCTGAGGTCTCTTGAGTATGTACTGCAGACACTTCCAAGCTCAGCTGAGTAAAGCAGAGCTTGCTACAGTCACAGCAAACAGAAAAAAAAAGCTCTCCTGATGCTTCAGAAGTGTCTTTTTTTTTTTTTTTTTTTTTTTTCCCTATACTGTAGAAGTAGAAAAAAGGAAATAGGATGTAATAGCAGGCATTTCATTAAGATAATGTTTAGCCAAATGACAACTTCCCTAAATCTAGAAAGTAATGGTTCGAATAATTTATTGCATGTTTGCATGCATTGATTACACTGCATATCTTATGTGTGTCAGAGTAACTTTAGGAATTGCTTCTGATGAGGAATGCCACTAAATTAATTCTCCACTTAGAAGTTTGTTAAGGTTTTAGTGCCATTTTTTCAACCATTCACAAGTGACCGCATCTGCTTGACAGTTGTTTTTTCCAAAACACACCTCTGAATGCAGATGAAATGGCTGTCAGTCCTGTCAGGTGTATGGATTAGTCCCATACCTTGAAAACAATTGAGGATACCCTGAAGTTGGACTCTAAAGCAGATGAGCTTTAAAACTGTAATATATATCAGGCATGTTATCTGATGTCATTGCTGATACAAATGCCTGTGTTCTTACTTGGCATTTCATATTTTGTAAGGTTTGTGCACCCAGTGAATCTTGCATTTTATAAGGCTACTGAACACGCACAAAAAGGAGAATAAAATAATGATTTTATTTTCCTTAGGGGATAAAATAAACAGAAAGATACTTTTTCCTGCATAATTTTCCAACCTGTTCAGAAAAGCAATTTGTTAGTAATGCTACAGAGCAAAGACATAAAGGCAGGGGAGGGAGGAAATAAAATAAATGGCTTCCTTTATGGAAATGTAAATGTGAAAACCTCTGGAATTTTCATAAATGCAGGATTACAGTTTTGTACTGTCAGATTTGCTTGCACTCACATGGCACTTGTAAACAAATTCATCTTCCAGATACTCCAGAGAGAAAAGTAAAAAACAAAATAGGCTTGATCTTGAAAACAGAAAGGGATGAGATGGTGAAATACTGTGCTCCAAAGTCACGAAGAATTTAAGTGCCAAAGGCTAGATAAGAGCAGATAGGTCCAGGAGCTCTGGTTTTGAGCTCATGCATCAAGCAGATTTCCCTCCAGCAAAAACCTTTGTATAGGCATCCCTGTACATTGAATTAAGTCTTTTTTTTTTTTTTTTTTTTTTTTTTTTTTTTTTTTTTTTGCTACAGAGGATGAATCATGTCCAGCAGAAAGACCAAACAGTGGCGCCTGTGACAGCTCATAGTGACCTTACATGCTAGGGCCTGTGGGTTTTCAGAGAACAGAATTTTGGCATCTTGGAAGTGGGATGCATCTTTTAAAGAAGGTGGCCCTTGGGTAAATTGGAGTGAGCTATTATCACTCGAAACACTTGTGGTGAAAAATGCAGATTGCATGGTATGAATTTTAAAATTAGATCTCTTTTGATGATAAACTGTTTTCTGAAAAAGCAGTCGAGTTAAAATAATCCTTGTCCAGTGTTAAAAAATATCTTTTCACTCAATTCATAATTATAGGTGTGTTGTTGTGTTTTTTTTTTTTTTTTTTTAAATAAACCTAAACATGTTCAAAATCAAAAATGCAGGTTTTGATGTTGAACAATGTTTTTTGCTTAACCGCACAATATTTTGGCTATCCAGAAGGTCAGTTTTTTAAAAGATACGGATTGGCCTGCAACGATATCTTTGAGAAATTACTTTACTCATCCAGCTCTGTATTTTCCAGGCTGGCACTACAGGCAAATGTAATTTTTTAACTTCTTGCTGCCACAATGCAAGGATACCTTGGCATTCTGGCAGGACCTTTCTGCCCGCACAGTGCTGGGACCTGTTCCGCAGCCCCTGACCATGCTGGTGCAGGATGCCCACCCACTTCCCACCCTGGCAGCGTGGGCAAACCAGGGGCGAGGGAGCATCTTTTCTGCAGGAGCCCTGGGTGCCTCACCCAGCTGGCGCCCAAGCAGCCAGGCCGGAGCTTGTGGGCCCCATCCTGGCTCAGGCCGTGTTTGGCCGGGGTCGGCGACAGCTCTGCCACCGCAGCTGGAAGCAGCAGGGCTGAGTCCTGCCGTGCAGCATCCTTTCACAAGGCGCCGGCGTCTGGGAGAAGGCCTGCGCGGGTACGGCACGCAAACCCTGCGTCTTCCGGCTCCATCTTGTGGTAAAAACCGGTATTTCCATGTCGGAGCAAATGCTCCGTGCTGTGGAAGAGACGTGTGGGTGAGGAGGGGTAAAGTTAGAGGCATTGCTGCTCAGAAACCCCCAACGGAAAAAATGAATTTAAGCATCATGAAAGATGGCTTGATCCTGGCGAGGTCTCTGCTGAAGCTCAGAACAGCCCAGAAACCAACGGGTCTTTTTTTTTTTTTTTTTTTTTTTTTTTTTTGGGGGGGGTGGGTGGAATGGGTGGACACGACACACGACACACGGGGCTAGAGCAGCCGGGTTTTTCTTGGAGCGAGAGAGCATCACCCCTTGTCCTCTGCACAGTTCCTGCTCCTGTTTGAGCAGCTGTGCCCGTACCTCTCTGGGATGCCCCGGGGCTGCTTTTTTCTCCTGTCAGGCAGCTGATTTCACTGTCAGCTCTCTCTGGGTGCACACATAACCGGTGGGCAGTGCCACGGGAAACTCCCTCTGCCGCCCGTCTCTGCTTCCCATCAGCAGCGGTGCGGACCCAGCAGAGACCAGAGTAGGGCTCGGCAGAGGCTGGCTGTTGCCCCAGAGGCACGCTGCTTAATCCCTGCTCGTTAACCTCTAGCTGTGACAAGGTGGATAAGGCCAACGATTATGTAAACAAGAACAATAATAATTTCTTCCTCAGAGGAATGCTGTGGAGAGCCTTAACGGGATGATCACATTCTCTGGCAGCTGACATACCCGTAGATAAGGGACGGTCGGGGTGGGAGGTAAGCACAGTGCGATGAGGATGTCCTGCCCCAAACGCCCCCTGCTTTGACTTTGCCAGTGGTTGCGCTGCTCCCCTCGGCGGTCCCCGACTTGCCCTCCTTATAGGGTTGAAGGGCCACCTCTGCAACATTTGTTGGATGCTTGGTGAACAGGCTCACCTCACATTTGTGCTGATATCTTTGAAAAATGACTTTGATTCTCTCAGTATACTGTTTCAGTGATTCATTATGTGCATTTATTCAGTGGACGTGAGTGGGGAAATAAGATTGATGCTAAATTTATATGTTAATTTTAATATTGAAGCTATCCTGTATTTGAAGAATAAGATCAATTCTTCAATTTCATTTCTTACGTGATATTGCATATTGTCATTACTGGAAAATAAAATTATTTCTGAATGCCTACTATCCAAACTTCAATTTTAGTGGACATATAACTCTGAAGCATCATTCTTCTCCCTTCCCTATAACAACTAACTTAATACAGTATTTTAACGTTCTGCCACTGGAAGATAACAAAGACAAGTCTTTTCACCCTAAATGGTGTTTCGTTAATGTGTTTCCTGCACCATTCTGCACTGTCATGGGCAGATTTGGTGCGTGACTCAGCAACTCCCTGCAGGCTGTTTCATGTGTGATACAACAGGAATCTTAGTTAAGAGTTGCATCCCTCGCTAGAGATTAATTCCATTCATTTCCACAATAGCAGCCGTGCTTGAGAGCCATAGCCACAGTCATGCGCCAAGCATACCTGCATACAGGATGAATCTGGACCTTAAGTGGAGAATCAAACCTTTAGAGCACTACCAGGAAGCGGATCCTGTAGATGATGGACACAGACCATCACATGCACAGAAATATTTGGTACCTACAGCAGGAGATGTACTTTAAGGAGGTCTGCTGCCAGAGATCTGAAGCTGCAACAGAGAAAAAATATTTACAGCATCTTTGGGAGGGAGGTTTGCTATTTTTTGTCTTTGCAAGATGTGCAGGTAATTGTGGTGAGGAATGGATAGCAGGAACATTTGCAAGGTTACATCCTTGCTTCCTCCACTAACCTGAGGAAGATCACATAGGTCAGTTTGAATTTCAGGTGTCCCTTTTTCCCTCTCTATGAGATAAAGATAACTGCTAC